GAGCTGCCTGCTGGAGGCGCAGTCTGTGTGTGTGTGTGTGTGTGTGTGTGTGTGTGTGTGTGAGACATTAGCCGCAGGTGTGAGGAGCTGCCTGCTGGAGGCGCAGTCTGTGTGTGTGTGTGTGTGTGTGTGTGTGTGTGTGAGACATTAGCCGCAGGTGTGAGGAGCTGCCTGCTGAAGGCGCAGTCTGTGTGTGTGTGTGTGTGTGTGTGTGTGAGACATTAGCCGCAGGTGTGAGGAGCTGCCTGCTGAAGGCGCAGTCTGTGTGTGTGTGTGTGTGTGTGTGTGTGTGTGAGACATTAGCCGCAGGTGTGAGGAGCTGCCTGCCGGAGGCGCAGTCTGTGTGTGTGTGTGTGTGTGTGTGTGTGTGAGAGAGACATTAGCCGCAGGTGTGAGGAGCTGCCTGCTGGAGGCGCAGTCTGTGTGTGTGTGTATGTGTGTGAGACATTAGCCGCAGGTGTGAGGAGCTGCCTGCTGGAGGCCCAGAGGTGGCACCATTGTAGCCTCTTCCCCACCACACCACACTGGCTTCCACCAGGCCCAGGACACTCCACGATCTGGCTCTAACCCACCTCTGGCTCCTCCCCCGGCCCCCTCGCAGGGTGAGGTCAGGAAACATGTGTTCCAGGAATGCGGGAGGCGGGGCGGCCAGCAGGGTCTGGATAACCGTGGGGTAAATATTTGCCTTACTCCTGGAGCCAGCACTGGCCGCCAGGGCAGGACAGGGCCTGCTCCAGGGTCATGTGAGGGGAGGCTTCCCCGGGCGGGTCTCAGGTGCGGGAACCCATGTCGCCCCAGAGAGCCTGGAGCTGGGTCAGAGGCCACCCTTCCTGTGCAGGGCCAGAGACAGGGCCCTGGCTGACCCCTGACCAGCAGCTGTTTGGCCCGTCTGTAAAGTGGGGACAAAACAGTGAGGAGGGTCAGAGTGGCTGGAGCTGGCTCAGGCCAGTTCAGCCAGTGGAGCAGCAGGTTAGATCCGGTTTGGGGGCTCACATGACCAGGGTTCTGGCCCACAGTTGGCCACTTATGACCTTGAGCAGCCACCCCTCCCCCACACAGTCACCATTCATGGACCAGTCCCTCCTCCGGGGCACCCACATCTACACACCCAGTGTCTCCTTAAGCTGTCACAGCCACCAGGGCATGAGGACGTGTCTGTGTGCTTCCGCAGCAGGTGACAGGAGTCCTGCACTCTGACTGACAGGTGCTACCGGTGTAGCCCCCAGCTGTGCAGACCGCCCTGGGGCAGTTCCGCCCCTCCCCCAGTTGCCTACAGGGCAGCCTGGGGCCTCCTCTGGTGGGTGAGCAGCTGGAGGAGCAATTAGTCCTTGTTTAGAGCAAAGATAGGGCTCAGAGTTGTCAAAGACTTGCTCAAGGTCACCCAGCAATAAAGGACAAGTAGGGATTCCAACCCAGTTCTCCCCACCCTTGCCCTCGACCTCACCCTGAAGGCGAGGCCAGGGCTCAAGCCCAGAAGGTGGGCTCCCAGCCCTTGGCAGCTGTAGAGAAAAGCTCGTCACTTCACTGAAGGCTGGAGCCACAGCAGGCACAGAGCTTCATGGTTCCCCACTCCCTGGACACCTGTGGCACAGGAACCTCTGTCCCTCAGGAATCAGGTCCGCCCTGCATCACTCTGGGCCAGCCCTCGCCCCAGTCAGCTTGGCCTGGTGCCTCCACTCAAGCCCACACCCTGCTCTTCCCAGGGGATCCCAGGAGCTGGAGAGGTTGGGAAGGAAGGAGTGGTTGGGAGAACCCATCTGGGTCCAGAGACAGTCTCCAACCAAGTGACCTTTGCCATGCCCCAGTCCTTGTCTTGCTCCGCACAGTGGACACACACTCGTGCCTTGCCCTGCCCTGGGAGCTCCCAGCATGCTGTGAGAGTAAAAGCCTGCAGCCCGCACACTGCCCTTCCTGCCCTCAGTCAGAAACCGCCCTGCAACCAGGGCCTCACCCCTCCACCCACCCCCAGAGTGCGAGTCCTGAGCAGAGAGGCCACAAGAGCCCTCTGGGCAGTGGGACGCCATCCCACGGAGAGACTGGGTGGGCCCCAACACTGCCACTGGCCCTGCGGCTCAGGCCCCAAGTGCCTTTTGAGCAGAGCGCTTCTCTGCAGGGGGTCCACGTTAATGCCCATGGTCCGGTCAGGCTGTGAGCAGGACACCGGGTTTGTCCCACTGTCTTCTCCTTGGTCTCACCTGGTGGCCAAGTCCACACCAGGCTTGAGCCACATGTAAGGTCACCGAGGGAGGGGTGGACAATAGTGCCACTGTGTTCACAGCCTGGTGCAGGCCTGAGCCCCCTCCCCAGCTCCCACCTGACTGGACACCCAGTTTGAGGGGGTGCCCAGCACGGTGACAGGAAAGCCGGGGTACCAGCACTGGTGTTGAGCAACTCCAGGGCTGGGCAGGGTATGGGTTCCCTGGCTGGTCGCCTGGTAGTAGGCAGAGTATGAGTGGGGACAGACTACCTGGTCATGTCACCTGTTCCTATCACTTTTTAGCTCCTGGTTGCCTATGTGTGACCTTAGGGTGTTCTGGAACCTGTCTGGGCCTCTAGCATCATTTGGGGATGCTAGCTTAGTTCCTGCCTCGTAGCATTTCACCAGGTCAAAGGACATCCCAGGCAGAACCCGCTAGACAGCTGTCAGGTGAGCATTCTACTCCTCTGTCCTCCCAGGTGGAGTCCAGTGCAGGACCGCAAGGAAGGGGGCAACCCCCCAGCAGGGCCTGAGCTCGAATCCTGGTGCCCCTGGCGTGGTACCCTCACCATGTGGCCTTAGCCAGGTCACTTTGCACAAGCGACACCGAAGAACTGGGTGCAGGGGCAGCTAGGCACATGTGCGCACCTGAGCCGGACCACCTGAGAGGCAGGATGGCAGGCGTCATTCCTGAGGCCTGGACGGTGCTCACAGAGTGAGCGGGCACAGTCCGGCTCGGGCTTCTGTTTCAGCTGCCAAAACAATTCTTTTCTCTTCATCGGCGGGTCTGCGGGTCTGTGGGCCAGCTCGCCTTTGGGGAAGGCCTGAGCTGGGGCAGCAGGGAAGCAGGCGGTTGACTCCACTTCTGCCCCAGCCACTGACTTGCTGTGTGACACTGGGATGGGGGCGGTCGCTGCCCCTCTCCAGGCCTCAGTTTCCTCCTCAGTGAACAGAGAGCAGAGTCAGTGAACCCAAGGGCCACCTGTGTTCCCATAGTGAGCAGAGTTTGGGGGCTGCCAGAGCCCAAGGGTCAGGACACAAAGACATCCTTCCTGTGCTGGGGTGGGGATGGCGGCTTTGGGAACTGGGGCTCAGACCCAGGGCACTATAGAGCCCAGCGCCAGTCCTGCCAACCACCTTCTGCCTCAGCTGGCATGCCCGGAAAGCCGCCCACGTGCCCCGCGGTCATATACCCAGTGCAGTCTGTACAGCTCTGAGGGAGGTCCTCTCCTCATCCCGACGTCCCTGCGCACAGATGAGGAACCTGAGGCACAGAGGTTTAGAAACTTGCCCAGAGCCACCCACTTTGTGAGAGGATGAGACCAGGTCATGTTACTGAGCCGGCGCGCCCCTCCAGCGCCAGGCTGCGCGGCGCCTCTTGCCAAGGGCGCCCACTTCTCTCTCTGGAGCCTGCCTGCCGCCTGGTGAGTGTGCCTGGTCCGAGCCCCTCCAGTCCACTGGCACACGTGGGAGCCCGCGCTGAACGTGGCGTGAGCACTTCTCTTTCACCGTGAGCCGTGGGCCTCTTTCCGAGCCGCACCCAGCCCTACAGTCAGGCTTCCCGTTGCCGGAAGCGGGCACACGGCTGAGAACGCACACGGGACTGCCCCGTGCCATTCAGCGGGGTGCCTTCCCTGCTGGGACTCAAACTGGGGCTCTGCGGCTCCCACCCTGCAGCCAGCCCTTCGGGTCTACTCCTCCTGGGTCGCTGTGGGGCCCCGTGGGCAGTAAGGGGAGGGGAGTCCTGGTGGCCTGTTGAGAAGATGGGCCAGCTGGACCCTGTGCAACCGAGATAATCGTATCCCTGCAGCCCACTACTTCCTTGAAGGGCAGGCCTCTGAGGAAGGGGTGTCTGTGCCTCTCCCCTCCCCCCTCCCACTCCTCATACCCAGCATCAGCAGGTCCTGCCTCTTCTGACTCTGCTCCCTCTGCTGTAAGCACCACTGTCTGACCTGGACCTGGAGCAGCCTCCCTGGTTTCCTGCCTCCTACTGTCCCTTCCAAACCCTTCTTCCCAGCAGCCATGAGATCTTCTCAAACTAGAACTAGGGTCATACCCCTCAGCTGCTTAGACCCTCCTGTGGCTCCTGTCCACCTCCTTGACAGTTGGCCCTGCCTCACCGCACTCTCCCCACCTCACTGCACCCACCTACCCAAGTCCTCCACTGACCAGGCTTTCTCCCCCGTCTTGAAGTCTTCACATTTACGGTTCCCTCCACCAGAAATGCTGTTCCATGCATCTTGGCCTGCGTCTCTTTGGCTCATCCTTCAACTTTACTTCCCCAAAGAGGCCCCCGAACCTCAGGCCTGTGCTGCATAGCCCCTCTACTCATTCTCTCTGGAAGACACCACTTTTAATTATGCATTATTTGATTCTTTGCTCATTATCAGAATTTTCACGAGGGCAGGTACAACTGTGCTGTTCATAGCTCTGGTGTTTGTTAATGTTTCTTGAATGTATGAATGAATGCCAAGAGCCTTAGATCCTCCCAGAAGCCCTTAGAGAGGTATTGTGATCTCATTTGACAGGTGAGGAAATTGGAACGTGGAGAGGTCAAGACCATATTCACAATTACATAGCTGGTAACTGACAGATGTGGGGTGTCAGGGGCCTGTCTGTGGCTCGGCACCTCCTCATCATGCCCTGCTTGCGCTCCGCCCTTCAGATGTCCCGTCTGTGACCTGGGGACGATTCGGCTTTGCGGGCAGTCAGTTTCTCAGCAGGTGGGCGGCCGGGCTGTGGCAGCTCATTTCCAGGGCCGGGCCCAGGGCGGACCCGCTGACCACCCTTCTCGTTGCCGCAGGATGGAGATGGAGTGAGGTGGAGGCGCCGCGAGCTGCTGTCTGGCACGAGGGACGCTGGTGATTCTTGGGTCACTGAGGTAGGTGTGCGGCTGGGCTGGCTGGGCTGGCTGGGCCAAACGCTTGGGGAAGGGGCATTTGTGTCTTGAGATGGGGGCAGGTGCTGGCCCTGGCACACTGTGCCTTTCACTGGCTCCTCGGCCCTCACAGGTGGGATTGGGTGCGGCCACCCTGCTGTGACCTTGTCAGACCCTGCAGGGGCCCCCATGGGCCTCTTAGGCCTAATCTTTTCTAGAGAAGCTGCCAGGGCAGGGGTAGAGGATGTGCCCAGGGAGAAGGGCAAGTTTGGTGTCCCCAACCTTGGCACGGCAACCCTGTCTGTGCTACTCTGAACCCCAGACCATGTGGGCCCCGTGCACTGGGTAACATGGCATCCATGCAGGCAGAGGCCGGCAAACTGGGGTCTGTTTGCTGGCATGGGCGCTGTGGCTGCCCCCCCTCCTCTCCCACAGACACACTGGGTGTGCACACGAGCACTCTGGGTGCTGGGGTCAGAAAGCCTGCACTGGAGTCCTGGCTCTGCCCCCTACCCACCGTGACCTTGTGTGCGTTCTCTGCGCCCCAGTGTACCTGTGTGTAAAAGGACTGGGATCGCAGCACTCGCCCACGGGTGCACAGGCACACCCGCACACAGTAAATGCTCAGCGTGCGTCAGCTGGGGTCTTTGCTTCTTCCCACGTTCCTCAGTTTCCATTACCCGCTCCTCCCTGAGGACCAACACATGCAGGATGGACACAGACCGGTGCTCCAGCCTGAGGAGGGGTTGCAGGCCCCTTAGGAAGCTCCCGAAGGCCTGAGGCTGAGCCTCGCAGGCAGGCCTGTGGCCTGGACACCAGCGTGTTTGATCACGAAGTGGCATTTCAGGGTTGCTTGCACTCGGCCTTGTCTCAGAGGGCGACCTGTGGGACCCTTCTCTGCGGCTTCCAGCCTAGAGGTGAGCAGGCTTCACAGAGATGCTCAGGTGGGCCAGGGCCTGTGTACCAAGGCCCTGGGCCCAGCTTCGCCCTGGCATGAGGCCGTGCCGAGTCACCTCCCTGCTGCCCTTGGCTTCTCTCCTCAGGCCCCACTGCTGCTGGCCGTGTGACCTTGGGTTGGTCCTTTTCCTTCTAGGATAGTCAGTTCTCATCTGAAAATGAAGGTAAATTATACCAACACTGCTGAGAGGGCTATTATGAGGATGCTTAGAAGCCTGGTCTATTTTTAAATGTTAAAGCTTGGTGAGATTGCACTGTGTACCAGGCACTATACACCTTAAATGCATACTTCTTTCTTCAGTTCCCCTGAGGAGGTGTGTTTAATGCCTCATTCTCCAGAGGCCCAAAGTGGTTAAAAAAACCCATAGAGCTGTAAGTGGTGGAGTGGGGATTTGAACCGTGGTCATCAGAGGAAGCTGTAGAGGCCATGGGTGGAGCCACAGGGCAGATTCACAGCAGGTGCTCAGGGAACCACCTGCATCTCGGCCTTGCAGCCTTTGCCCAGACCTCCAAGCCTGGTTGCCCACAGAGCCAGAGGGTGGCCCCCAGAGGGCTGGCCGCCTGCCCCCTCCCCAGGGCCTGCCGGCAACTCAATAAGGCTGCGGGAACCCACTGCTAATTGTGAGGTAACCTTTGAAATTCTCCTTCACGGTGGGTTCTCTTTTCGGATGTTTTTCAAGGTAATTCATTCCCTTTCCAGAAATTGCCAGTGGCGGAGCACTAGGCAGCTGGTAATTAATCATAGGAGCGCCTTTGAGTGTATTCTTTAAAAAAAAAAAAGAGAAACAGAAAGCCTTGGTGGAAAAAGAAAAGAAAAGAAATCCACTCCAAGGCGAGGGTGGTAATCAATACCTCGGTGCCCTAGAAATGCTGGGGCGGGAATGGCAGGTGGGTGGCCTCCTCCCTTTCTTCCCGGGACCGGCAGCTGGTCAGCGCCGCAAGCGCGAGGCTCTACCAGGACCACCCGCCGCTCCCTGCGTGGCTTGCAGCAAGTCGCTGCCTTTCCCTGGGCTCAGCTTTGCCACCTGTATAATGGGTGAAGGGCAGGTGTCAGACTAGAACAGAATAGTAAATGATTATACTTGTTCACTACCACAGCCTAGTGCCTGGCACATGGTAAGTGTCCAGTTGGTATTTTATTCATCAAGTGAGTTAATGAAAGATTATCTGGGGTCTTAGTTAGCTGTCGTAAGTCCAGGAGGTGGTATTGGCTAGGGGACATCTTTCCTCTAATTCTGTAATAATTTGGAGTGACAGCCAAGGTGATGGGCCAGCTCTGTCACTTTCCAAACTAGTGTTCAAAGGACAGTCCTGCCTGGTGGACTCTGGCCAGTGACTCAGACCCCTCAGTGGCAACCACATGGTCTCCCTCACATCCTCAAGTTTAACTTTACAAGAGTGAGCTGTCTGGAGATTGTTTTCAAATCTGCTTTCTGGGTAGTGAGTTCCTCGTCACTGAAATGCATGCAAAAGGGCTGGGCTCCACAGGGCACCTGGATGGCAGATGTGAAGGGCTCAGCACTCCTGAGGCTGGGCAAGAACAGGAGGTGCTCTAGATAGACGCTGGGGAGGCCGGACTGGCAGAGAGGGAAGCCTGTCCCCTCTGGCGCCCCTTCCGAAAGGCCCCGAGCAGGGCTCCAGGGCAGCTGGGAAGTGGGGTGCCCATGCACCTCAGGTGCTCTGGTGCCTGTTTCCCTGGAGAGAAGGAGGGTGTGCAGGGGTGTGCCTGTGTGCGGTAAATGCGTGAATGAACGCGAGGATGTGTGAGTGTGCAAGGGAAGGAGAGTGTCCCCATGTGTGAGTGCCGCCCCACCCCCACCCCATGTGCAGCTCCGTCGGGACCCTAGCACCTCAGGCTCTCTCCACAGGAGACTTGGCTTGGGCCTCACACTCAGACCGGCCAGCGGGATCCTGCCACCCCAGTGAGTTGACTTGGTGGGACAAGATGGGCTCCTGAAGGACCCCAGAGGGGACCCCTGCCCAGGTTGAAAACACTGACCCCTGGCCACTCCCCACGGTCGGAAGGAGACAGTTCTTTGAGGCCCTGCCTCCTTTCCTGGACTCCCAACCCCTGGTCTGAAGTGTCTGGGGGCCCAGGGCCCCTGGTGCAGCAGGCCTACCGCTTGGGGAGTCTGAGCAGCCCGGCGCACTTGGTCCTAGTGGTTTCTTCTTTTCTCCTCCGCCTCCCGATGCCCACTCAGAGGCGTGAGGGTGTGTGTTTGCCCTTCCACAGAACTGCCTGCCTCTTTCTGTGCGGCGCTCTCCCTGTGGGCACCTCTCTCCTGCCCACCTCCCGTCCTCACGGCCAGCCCTGCTCCGCCTCCTCTCCGCTCAGCCCTTCTCCCAGTCCTGCCACTTCCGAGGCTCCCTCCCGCTCCTCCGGACTTCTCCCCGTCCCGGACCTCAGTCCTTGCCGGCATGCAAGGGGCACAGCTCCTCCCTCGCCGCCAGGACTCCGCAGAACGAGGCCTCCTGGGCTCCCCACCTGCCGCCCTTCCCCTCGTTTGTCCAGCTTTGGCCGCACACAGCTCCCTCCCTTCGGCTCCTGGGAGGCAGCGCCCCACACTCCCAGGGGCTTGGCGGCTGCATACTGCGTCTGGCCAACTGCGTATGCACCATCCGGTCCCCGTGGAACCGCCACCGGCCCACTCAGGACGGAGCCCGATCTCCCCACACAGAGACATCCGCTCTGCGGCGGCCTGCGCTGGGCGGGCCACTGGTATGGGCTGGAGCAGGGGCCTCGGGCCACATCCACCGAGGGGCAGTTTCCCTCCGGCACTGATGGAATTCCTACTGTAATTAGAAGTGAGGTGTCCAGAAGCTGGCCCCTGACAGGAGCCGGGAATGCTCATGAATAAATAAATTGTCCCCAGAGGGGAGGAGGAGCCAGTGGGGGCTCCGGAGGGCAGCAGGCCCAGAAGTCCCAGTGATCCGCGAGGTGGGCTGGTGGGCCCTGGCGGCCAGACACCGTGCTCTCACCTGGATGCCGCTGGGGAGCTCCCTGGGTCCAGTCCCTCGCTAGCCAGTCTTCCTGGAGAGCCTGCTGTACGCCCAGCCGACTCAGCTTGGCTTTTGGAGTCGCCACCACTGGCCCGGCCTCCTCTCGGGCCAGATCACACACTGGTGTCTGTCAGTGCGCCGCCCCCACCGCTGCCCTTGCACCTGCACTTCTCCTGCCTCCAAAGCCCTCCCGCCTTGCTGCCCACGGGGCTTGGGCCTCTGGGAGACTGCTCAAGCATGCTCCCCTCTCCCGACATGGCCGCCATCCCCACTGGGCCCCCAGAGCCGCCCCCTCTCAGAGGCCCTGGTCCATCCCCCCCTGAGCTCTCCTGACCTCGAGACCCTTCCCGCTCTGCCCTTATGCCCGTCAGAGTGCTCCTCAGACCACCGCATCGTGTCTGTTTTGTATTAGGTGCTGGAATGATAACACACTGGCCATTTTACATTCTTTTCTCCTACTAAGTCTTTGGAACCTGCTGTGTATTTGACATATTTCCCACATTGCAGATGCCGGTGTTCATCCACATGTGGTTCCTGGCTGCTGTATTGACAGCACAGCCTTGGGGGCCCCACTTTTTCCCTTTGCAGGCAGGGAAACTGAGGCTGGGGAAGGCAGTCTTGCAGAAGAGAGTTGGCAGAGCGAGTACCCTCTTTGTAGTCAAGGCTGCTTCTGTTCTGCAGGTCAAAATAAGGAAAGGAGGCACACCCCACTGGTCAAAAAGGTAAATCGAGGCAGGCAGGACTGTAGCCTAGTATCCAAGCCACAAACCTCAGTGGGAGTAAAGGGAAGATGACCACAGGGTTCCCACCATTCCCCCCACAGTGGGCTCCAGGGCTCCAGCTAATCCGCAAGCAGCCCTGGGCAAGGCGCTGCCACAGGCTGTGCCACATGGGATCATTCCCTTGGTCACTGACACACACACAGGCTAGAACAGAGGCTCTGGGTGACAGTGCCCAGCTCCTCCCATGAAGGGAGGGCCTCCTGCCTCCACTGCCCCCGTCATCCAGGATGCAGTCTGAAGTGCAGAGGTGCCCGAAGGGATCCC